CTTTGAAAATATGAGGAAGAAGGAATTGATAGTGGTGTTGGTGGTAGATAGTGGCATGTATATAATATGATAGTGGTAATATATAATATGTAAATGGCATATAATGGGTTATAATGATGTTTGTAATATCTCCTATATAAGGAGTGTCATTTGGTCTTGTAAGATAAGAAGTTTTGAATATAACAGAAATATATTCCTTCTTATCTGAGGAATAATGACCCGAATGTCCATCCTAATGACCCGAATGTCCACCCGAGTTCTGGCATCGAAATTTTAGGTAATCCTATTCCTTCTATTTCCGACCTTGATGTTCCTATAGCAATTAGGAAAGGTGTCCGAAATTGCATTAAACATCCTATTGCAAATTACCTCTCCTATCAAAGATTGTCTAAAAACCATAGAGCTTTCACATCTAGGATTTCACACTTGTTTGTTCCAAGGAATATACAGGAAGCATTGGATGATCCGAATTGGAAATTAGCAGTTATGGAGGAGATGAATGCTTTAAGGAGAAGTGGTACTTGGGAGATAGTTGATCTACCCAAAGACAAGAAAACAGTTGGGTGTAAATGGGTGTTTACGATAAAATGTAACGCAGATGGAAGCGTTGAGAGATACAAGGCGAGACTGGTGGCTAAAGGCTTCACTCAAACTTATGGGATCGACTATCAGGAGACGTTTGCTCCTGTTGCTAAAATAAATTCCATCAGAGTACTGTTATCTCTTGCAGTAAATTCAGATTGGCCTCTACATCAACTTGACATTAAAAATGCATTTCTCAATGGTGATCTTGAAGAGGAGGTGTTCATGAGCCTACCGCCGGGATTTGAGCAGAGACTTGGAAGTGACAGAGTATGCAGATTGAACAAGTCATTATACGGACTCAAACAATCACCAAGAGCGTGGTTTGAACGCTTTGGGAAGGCAGTTATCAGTTGTGGCTTCTCGCAGAGTCAAGCAGATCACATAATATTTTATAAACATTCAAAAAACAGTAAAATTGCAATTTTGATTGTTTATGTTGATGACATCATTTTAACTGGTAATGATGAAGCAGAGTTAGCAGCTCTCAAAGAGAAACTCGCAAAAGAATTTCACATTAAGGATCTGGGAGCCCTCAAGTATTTCCTCGGAATGGAATTTGCAAGATCCAAGGAAGGTATATTCGTTAATCAGAGAAAATATGTTCTTGATCTCCTTGGAGAAACAGGTATGCTTGGTTGTACGATGGTGGAGACTCCGATCGAGCCTAACTTGAAGTTACAAGCTGCTAAGGCTGAAGAAGTCAAAGAGAGGGAACAATATCAGCGACTTGTCGGGAAATTGATTTACTTGTCTCATACGCGGCCTGATATTGCCTTTGCAGTCAGCATGGTAAGTCAGTTCATGCACTCACCAGGGGCAGAGCACTTTGAGGCTGTTTATAAGATCTTAAGATATTTGAAAGGAACTCCAGGGAGAGGCTTACTGTTCAAGAAACATGGGCATCTTCAAGTTGAAGTATACACAGATGCAGACTGGACAGGAAGTGTTATAGACAGGAGATCAACATCCGGATACTGCTCCTTTGTAGGTGGGAACCTAGTTACATGGCGGAGTAAAAAACAGAATGTGGTAGCTAGAAGTAGTGCAGAAGCAGAGTTCAGAGCTGTTGCTCATGGAATCTGTGAAGTAATGTGGATTAAAAGAATTCTTGAAGAATTAAAGCTTTCTCACCCGACATCTATGAAGGTCTATTGTGACAACAAAGCAGCTATATCTATAGCTCATAATCCAGTTCTACATGATCGCACAAAACATATAGAAGTGGATAAACATTTCATCAAGGAGAAAATCAATGCTGGCATAATCTGTATGACCTACCTTCCAACAGGTGAACAATTAGCTGATGTGCTAACGAAGGGACTACACAAGAAGCAATTTGATAAGCTGACTAGCAAGCTGGCTATGGAAGATATCTTCAAACCAGCTTGAGGGGAAGTGCTGGAAATTTGTGTTAATAATTAGATAGTGGCATGTATAGAATATGTGATAGTGGTGTTGGTGGTAAATAGTGGCATGTGTAGAATATGTGATAGTGATGTTGTTGGTAGATAGTGGCATGTATATAATATGTTAGTGGTAGATAGTGGTAATATATAATATGTAAGTGGCATATAATGGGTTATAATGATGTTTGTAATATCTCCTATATAAGGAGTGTCATTTGGTCTTGTAAGATAAGAAGTTTTGAATATAACAGAAATATATTCCTTCTTCCTCATATTTTTCGGAGTTCTTCTTCCTCATATTTTCTAAGTTCACTATAAATAGACTTGTAGAGACAAAAAATGTGAATGCAAAAAGTTTTGATTCTGAGACAACCAAAATTTGTCTCTAAAAGTCTAATTACAATCCAGAGCAAACAAAGTAGTTATGGAGACAAAAAAAATTAATTTTTGAGACAACAGAAATTGGTCTCTAAAAGTTTCAGTTTTTGGGACAAATGAAAATGATGTGTAAAGGTTATAATTTTTTTGAAACAACTAAAATTAGTCCCTAAAAGTTTGATAATTTTTTTTCCCCCTCTAAAAATACTAGTTTGAACATCAACTTATATTCTTTTTTTGATTTCTCAACAACCAAACAGAAAATATCAAATATATCATCAGACCATTTGCTCATCTCCAAATTAAAATTCAATTACACCAAAAAAAATAAAATAAAACGCTCATCACATTCAAAGAGGCTTAGTCAAAAGATATTTCAATAACAAACAAATACTATGCTCTAATTCATTAGTATGTAATATATTGATTGTATATCTTAAACGAACAGAGATTTCAAAAGTATCATTTCCAATTTATAAGGCTAATGCCATAAGCATTGTTTGTAGCATTCAACTATTCAATGAACAGATTGTAATTGGAGTTATATCTACCTACATAACAAAACAACTCAACTCATCGCATCTTCTTTTCAAGGACTTCGTTGAAATGGTATTCAAAATCTAGCAAAGAGCTCCCAAGCTTCAAATCGATGCAAGCTTGTAGAACCTGCATAAAATAGGCCAAAATCTCAAACAGATTACCAATGAAAAATTATTCAATGATAGATTAATTTAATAGATTGCAATTTAATGTGCCAATTGTAGATCGGCAACAATCACACATAAATCTTAGTATACAAAGCCGTCCAAAATTTACTATCAATATTCAAGAGTTAACAAAGATTAAACTAACAACCTCGCTACGTAGCTCGAAATCCGCGTGGCTCGATTGGTCTGAAAATCAAAACGACATCGTTTTGATTTTTTTTTTTTTTCCTCGTTTTCTCGTTTTTTGAAGATCTGAAGAAGTAAAGAAAAAGAGAGAAGAAGAAGCTGGCGAACAGAGCATCATCATCAACAACCACCTCTTCATCAACAACAACATCTTCATCAACACATCATCATTAACCAACAATTTTTTTTTTTCCCTTCATTTTCAGATCCAGATCCACTAAAGAAAAAAAAATGAATAACAAAAATAAGAAAAAGTAGAGAAAATAGAGTCTGAAAGTGGCGCCATCACTGTTGCTCACCGTTACCGTCTCTCTTCCTCTCTCTTTCTCCCTCTCTCTTGTCCCCCCCCCTTTGTTTTAGATATAAATAGAGGCTGTTCTCTCTCTCTAGTCTGTTTATCTTTTTTATTTGAAATGAAATGTATTAAAAGAGAGATGAATAAAGGTGTACAAAGATATGTAGGTGTATGTAGAAGTTCGGGCCATTTTCGAGCCATGGTATTCAAGCTACCACTCTTTTCACTTAAACTAAAATCAAACTCTGTGTTGGGCACAAAAAAGCAATTACTAACAATAAATCACTTAACCACTCTTCTTACCAAAAAAACAAAAAACCCCATCACTCCTTCAAACTCACCGTTTTTCTTTTGATATAAATCAGATTCATTTATATGAGTTTAAATTTGCACTTTACATCACTGAACTGGGACAAAGTTCAAAGCTCCAACCTCTATTTTTTGGGGTAAATCAAAGACGCAAATTAAAGGAAGCAAAAAAAAAACTTCATTGGAAAAACAAAAACTAGCTAGCGATTTGGAATGTTGTGAGGAAGCTGACAATTCAATACAATACATTACACAATACCATATAAGATGGAGCAGGTAGATCATTTTCATATGGAAAATGCTATTCCATCAAAATTCGTGAACAAAATTTTATACCAGAAATGATGTGACAGTTTTATTTTGGTAATTAAAGACATCTCAACGGCTTCTTTGTTTTAAATGATAGGCTCAAAACCCAGTCAAATCATTTTGTATAGATTTTCTGTTGTTTGTATATCACTGCTCTTTTCAAATACTCCACACGCAGGTATATAACTATAATAGGTCAAGCTTCTATATCTGTGTGTCAAGTGCTTTGAACCTGAGAGACATGGGGAGAGAAGCCATTTTCTTATTAATAAATTGAAGCATTTCATTTCACTGTAGTAGATACCTTCTATGGCCTTCAACAACTAATGCCATGTTGCCTCCATATGTTGGGACAAATATATCACTCAACTGAAACAATATAATCCAATGCTGCCATTTGAGATGAATGGTTCTGGAATGGCAATAGCTCTGAGGGTTTAAGTAATGTTTCCTTCTTCACCTGTTTCACACATCACATAAACCCAAATTTTCCCAAATTTTAATGTCAAAAACTCTCAAACCCTATTAAAAGTCAGATAGATTGTACACAGCTGGTAGCTATTCTTCAGGCTTGAACTCAAATTTACTAACCAAATTTGGAAAAGCCACTGCTAGACTCGCCAACCTCGTCTTTCCTCCATACATATCTCCAGCAGCAATATAAATCTGGATGTTTCGATCAATGTCTAGTGCTCGCTATGTCAAAGCCGGTTCCTCCGGAGTCATAGGGCACAGCCCTGCTTTTCTTTTCTTTGTAGAGTTTATAACCTTGTCTTTCCACCGTGGATAAGCATACCTGTCAATATTAATATTAACATACAAAATTTAAGCAAAAGAGATGTATACATATTTGTCACAGATCTACCAATTCCCACCAGAATCACAACAGCAACATTCTAGCCAATCACCAGAGTCACAACTATATATGAATATGTAATGCCTATCACCAGAATCACAACAGCAACATTCCACAATTTGTTACAAAAATATATAGTACATGGAAACTGATAATGGAGAAAATGGCAAAACTAGTATGAGAGCATGAACAATGTTAGAATTCACCACACCTACTACACCTACCACCAATTCACCCTCACCTACTACACTCCACCTACCACCTCCACTACCATCTTCACCTACCATCAACTTTCTCTCCGTTTCTATTTTCCACAGATCTCTCTCTCTCTCTCTCTCTCTCTCCACAGATCACATCTTTGACTCGATCTCCATACATCAATAATGGCAATCGAGTTCACCCCCAAGACTCTCCACCTTTCTCCGGCAAAGCATCAATGACGTCGACCCCGAGAAACCAGATGGTATCACTATCACACAGATAGCATAGATCGGTCAAGATCCATAACACAAATCTTCGATCTCGATCACCATCACCTCAGCCCCACCGTTGTCTCTAGAACAAAGACACATTCAGAATGCCGTCGTCACCAGATCCATCGCTGTGCAGACTGCCATTGCAGCGAAGTTATTTGGTTCGGAGAAGCATAATAATTCCTTCTTCTCCGACCAAAACTCCGGCGGCTCCCGTGACGGCTCTGTCTCCTCTAGTTGCAGCTGTCGCGCCACAGTCGAGTCCGGCACCAAACCCGATTCGACATCTGAGGAAAACCCGGATTCTTTGTTACCCAAATTGGTCGCTGATTCATTCGCCGCCATGGTCTGCCGGGACTGAGACTCCGAACGAATACTCCGAGAATTACGAGCAGGAAGATTCAGGGCGGTGGTCAGAAGAGCTTGTCGGAGAGCTTCGCGGTGGTATCATGAGGTGCTCATCAAGAACCAGACGCCGAATATCGATCCATTTGATGCCTACTTTCGGAGGTGCTCATCAAGAACCAGACGCCGAATATCGATCCATTTGATGCCTACTTTCGGAGAGCAGATTTGGATCACGACGGTCGGATCAGTGGAGCTGAGGCTGTTGCCTTCTTGCAGGACTCCAATTTGCCCCAACAAGTCCTCGCTCAGATATGGATGTATGCTGATCAACATAAAACTGGTTTCCTCGGCAGAGCCGAGTTTTATAATCTTCTTAAACTTGTCACTGTTGCACAAAATAAATTTTGCAGATACAACTGCTGCATCAAGTCCTATGCCAGGTACACCTGTCCCACAGTTGAGTGGTACCACCCTAATGCCTTCCCAAAATATTTGTTTTCTAGCTGGGTCTCTCTCTGCAACGCACATGGGGCACCCACTCAATCTTGAAGGCTGCATTATATGGTCCTGCTTCAGCTAAAATTCCTGCTCCCCAGATAAATTTTGCAGATACACCTGCTGCATCAAGTCCTATGCCAGGTACACCTGTCCCACAGTTGAGTGGTATCACCCTAATGCCTTCTCAAAATATTTGTTTTCCAGCTGGGTCTCTCTCTGCAACGCACATGGGGCACCCACTCAATCTCTCTCTCACTTTAAACCCTCTCTTTTCTTTTCTTTTTATTTTAATATTGTCCATCCACTCTCCCAACACACCCAGCCTCCTGCTTTTTCCTTTCTTTTATTTTATATATATATGTTTATATATTTTCCTTTCTTAAAAAAAAAAAATACACAAACATGGGATCTCTTTTTAATGGCTCAACACATGGATTTATAATCCACTTAGCCGACAACAATGTAGTACACACTTTTTCGAATGGTATATATCATCTGTGACTCATATATTCCTTAATTTTTTAGTGTGTGATAATTAGATTGGTAGGTGCCTATTTCCATGGCAGTTTCGTTCTCACCACCTCACTGCTTTTTCTTTCTTTTTTTATTATTTTTTTTTCTTTCACTTTCTTTTTAATCCTTTTTTTTTTTTTTTTTTTTTTTTTCTCCGTATTATGTCATTCCTGCCATCCTATTTGCACATACAAAAACAAAAAAAAAAAAATCCATTATTTTTATTTATTTTCTCCAAACCACTTTCCTTTTTTCCCCCATCTTTCATTTTGATTTCAAATATATTTTTATTATTTCTTTCTTTATTTTTCTTTCACATTATTTTTTAATCAAAAAAAAAAAAAAAAAAACAAAAAAAACAAAAAAAAAAACAAAAAAAACAAAAAAAAACAAAAAAAACAAAAAACAAACCAAAACAAAACACCCACACCCACAGTGGGATTTTTCTTCTCTACTCTACTGCAGGTCTCTTCTTTTTGCCCCCGTCCTGAGCGGCCCTTGACGGTGTTGCCTCCGTGTTTCCCACTCCACTGGGCATGATCACTACTCCCTGCTCCTCCACTGCAGCATACGGCGGACCTCCAAAACGGAACATCACAGTGGCCTTCCGCTTCAGCTCCTTGTTTTCCGCCCTTAGCACGCTTATCTCTGCTCGCGCATCCTTATACATGCGTTGGAGCAGAGCCAGCTGGGAGTTTAAATGCTGCACCTCATTTGTCCTACCCTTTTTTTCTTCCTGTGTTCATGTCACTAATTAACTTTGGCTGATTATCAATTTTATTTTCTATAAAAAAAAAAAAAGCAAATAAAAAAACATACAAGCAGATTATTTGTAGAAATAAAATATCACTTGATCAAAATTTAGATGTATTTTTTATTAATTATGAATAAAAAAAAAGGGCCAAATAAAATATATGTCCCAATAATTCAACCCCTCCTCCATTAGAAATGCAGGCGAGTGTTTATTTGTTCTCTCGCACTAAGGCTCTCCCAAATCCTGATAAAATTTCAAAAATGGTGAATGTAAGCCAGTTTTAATAAACTAATCGGTGAACTTCTGTTTCCTATGTTTGCTATCCGTCCTGGGAGTCCCTTGACGGTGCTGCCATCGGAACTTCTTGTCCACCAAGTACGTTCACATACTACCATATCTGTGGCCTCTTCCAACCCTGCTACCTGATGAATTATGGCGGGACCTGTTTGGTCTTTTGGGCATTCCCTTACTAATAAACCGGAAAATGTTTGATCTGAACACACTCTACGGACTCCATTTGGCTCTTGTCCATCCGCTGTGCACATGTTCTCTCGTTCGTTTTTGTTGGATCTCATATTAGCAAACAACACTTTACTATCTCTGCTTGCCTTGTATTATTTTATTTTTCGCCATATGATATACATTGAAATCATCCTTTTTACTACATTTAAACCGCTTTGGCAGATATGCAGAGGCCACACAGCGGTAATTGGGAGTTTTTGAGATTATATAGCCTACTGCACGACCTCTCATCTTACGATGTTTGTTCATCTTACCTCATGGACTATGCAAGGCTTTCGTGATCTATCAGAGAGTTGGTAGAACCATTTTGGTGCTCGTTTCACTAGCTTTGCAACACCAATTTCGCCTGTCAAAGTTTTTATGTGTTTCTGTTTCTGTGGATTTGTCTCAGGTGGCACTCAGGTCAGCAAATGTAATCCCTAGTTTCCTAATGTCTGAGATCTGCACTTCTGGACAGTATGTAGGCTGCATTCTTTGCTCGCACAGACCGCCATCGGAAAGTTCAAACGGGCAAACTCTGGGGCGCAGGTATAGGTCTTCTTATGATTGATGTTGTGGTTCATTAAAAAAAAGTGGCATGCTATCCATTGATTGATTTTATTGGTTGTGTATATTACAAGGATTTATATGCACGGCAGTTATTTCTGGCTGAAGTATGCTTTGATGGAATGGTAGTTCGGTAGATGGGTTAGGATAGAGTAGGGTTGTTGCAGTATTTCACTCTGATTGAGGATATAGTTTGATGTCGAGAGAACGAGGTACCAAATTGGTTCTCTTGGGCATAGAGGCAAGAGTATTGTTAGCAGTAGGAAGTGGATCTCTCGGCATAAGCTAAAGTGTGTGTGAACGAGTGGTGAACGGTCTTGCTCATAGTGTATCGTAAGGCACTAGAGGGTGAATTGGTGGGTAGGTGTAGTAGGTGTGGTTGATTCTAACAGCCCCGCAAACTCATAGGAGGATAGAAACTAACCAACTTGAGTTTGAAGAGAGGAACAACAAGAAATACATAAAAATAAAAAAAAAAAGATAGGAGACACTGTATGTGTCGTTCAGACCGTTGGTGAAGACACTGAAAGGTTGGTGCATAAGTGGTAAGGACACTGGATTGTGGTGCCATAACCGGTGTAGAAGGACACTGAAGGGGTGTCATAACCGTGTAGAAGGACACTGTATGGTGTGTCATAACGTTTGTAGAAGAGACAGAACGTGTTATTTTGTGTTGCTCAGACTCTCTCTCACCGTCTCTAGGTCAACAGACGAAGATTCAGTTTTTTTGTTCGTACGAGGGTTTTTCTGCACACGCCAGTGCTTTTGTTTCATACTGCCAATCGCCTCAGCATCAGTCGTATGAGTTTAAATTAGCTCGAGGGCTGAAGCCAGTACTCGTGTAGTAGCAGGTCTGACAGAGTCTATTTGACCGCCCAGAAGACCCTTGTAGAAAACGCATCAAACCGGGACACTCGACCAAACGGCGACGACACTCACGGTTTCTCATCCAGGCAGTCCATGTGTCCCGGACCTTCGCATCAAGACCACACTTAATTCTGATAAAATACTATTTGGGGTGGGCGAGCTGCCATTTGAGGCCACAGGCTCTTACTCTATAATGGATTTGGTGTCGGACAACCCATGACCTGTTTGATGCTAGCCCACGCCGTGTAATTAATGGATCGGCGGAGACAGTTTCAGAGTCTTGTCGGACCTTTGAAGGAGCTAACCGGAATCAATCGCTTCTCTGTGAAAGAGACTCTCGTGGTTACAACACGTCATTCGTCCCTGATCTCTCTGACTGGTTGAGAGCGAGGCACTCTAACCGGTATCTAATATGGGGTCCCGACAGACCTCTGTATAACTGTTTCCCGACAATTGATTCCGGTTTAGCTATCCTTCATGGGTCCGACAAGACTCTGTAAAACGTCCGCGAACATTGATTCCGGTTAGCTTTCCTTCAAAGGGTCAGACAAGACTCTGTAAACTGTCCCGACATTGATTCCGGTTAGCTCCTTCAAAGGTCCGACAAGACTCTGTAAACTGTCCCGACATTGATTCCGGTTAGCTTCTTTATGGGTCCGACAAGACTCTGTAAACTGTCCCGACATCTAGATTTCCGGTTTAGTTCTACAAGGGTCCGACGAAGTA